GGAAGTGCTCCCCTCCTGATCAACCCAGCTGTGCATTTTCTTTTATTTCATTGGACTTTGACTCCTGCCTGATGCCATTCAGCACTGTGCCAGAGGGAGGCTGTGCTGCTGCTGCCACTGCCCCTGCTTCCCCAGGCCTGGGGAGTGCTGCTCACAGGTCAGAGGGTGAGGTGTGTTCCCCTTCGGTTCTTCTTTCAAGTCCATTTGTCAAAGGCAGTGTGTGGTTGATTTGTATTTTAATATACCCTTCCCCTTCTGCGGTGGCTTGGAATATTTGTGTAGTGTGGCTGACCCTGGTGGCCATTGCTTAAGGGAGCAAGCATATTTTATTGTAAATTTTTTTGAAATTGCCTGTGTTGTTCCCTCTTCCTGCCCTTTCTCTTCTCTCCTTAATTAAAATAGGCTTGGTTTGGAAATTAATACAATCCATGAAATCCCTGTGGAATATGTGTTCCCTTTCTCCTCCCTTTGCAAAACACTGGGACTGTGCACTGTTCACAAGTTTGAAAGCTGAGGATGTGTGGAACATGGAGAGAAAAGCCTGTGCTGGTCATTCTTGGGCAGGGCTGTGCTTTCTTCTTGCACTGATCAAGTAGCAGCAGATGCCCCTAAATCTGTCTGGAGGATTGTCCATGTGCCCGTACAGGTTTGTGGCATACTGCTCCTGAGCACACAAGCTCACAGTCTGGTCCTGCTCCCTCTTCTTTCAAGCCTGTGAGAATCAACACATCTCTTAAAGTAGCAAAGAGTTATTCCTTCTCTCTCTGTTTTTAGTTAGAGACTGTTCATCCTCCCTTACCATCAACATGCAGTATATAAATAGTTCCAGGAAGAAGTCAAGGAAACTGAGTTAGCTGTTCCTTTGTTGTGAGATGCAACATGTACTACAGCTGGCAGAGTGCACTCCACTGGTGAAACTGGGTGGCTGGGGGAGGTTTGGCAAGGCTGTGATCCAGCAGACTCAGGAAAGCAGTGTCTCTCATCGTTCTGGCTGGCAAAGTGCTGGCCTTTGGGTAAGAGCAGTGTCCCCTCATTAAAAAGAAGTTGCCCTAAGGCTAAGAGCAAAATACATTTTATTCCACTTTCTTTGACTGAAGCTGGAACTCCTCTGTGTCCAAACTGGTAAAAATCAACTGAAGGTAAGGCATCTGCACCTACAGGAATTTCAATCACTGCAAGCTGAGCTCTGCCTCCTTCACCTCATCCCATCCTTGTTAAGTTTTGCTGTGAGCTCGAGGGCAAAACTGAGACATAAAAGAATCTGTAGTTTCTGTAAGTCTTGAACCATTGTAGCTACTTTTGAAGCTCCCTGGCGTATTGCTGCTCCTTTTGTTCCTCTGCTGTGGAGGAGGGTCATGGAGAAGAGGAAGGTGATGCAGAGACCAAACCAAGGGGTCACCTTCTACCTGAGGCCACCTGCAGTAGGTCCCATGGAGCATGTTTTGTGAGCAAGGAGCCTGGAAAGGCTGCTTGCACAAGGACTTGTGGGCCAGGTCGTGGGGAGAACCTGTGCGACCAGCTTTGAGTAGCCAAGCCATAGCAGCAGGACGAGCGTGGGAGGTTGATTAATTACAGGTGGGTTTTTTTCATAAACAAACAATATTTAGAAACAGGATTTTCCTGAGCCTGGTATTTAGTGTCAAGATCAGATGTCTGTAGGAAAAAGAGGTGTGCAAGGGTAGAATTGATAGTCTCTGCAGAAGACAGATTCACTCCTAGGTAGGACATGGACTCAAAAGTCCTTTATGCCTCTGGATTAAGGGGTGGGGGGGAAAAAAGAGGCTGGGAATTGCTGACTCTGGTTTCTATTAGAAGTTGCTCTGATAGGATGACTGTGGTCAGAGGATCCCAGCGGTGCTCTGGAGGAATTTGAGGTTATTTCAGTGCTGCTTTGGCCTGTCTTGTGCAACCATTTCCCCCCAAACACACTGATGTTGTCAGATATATTTTTAGTTTGAACCTTTTCAGCCCAGCAAGGCAGCAATGGTTGGTGCAGAGCTCTCTTTGCATGGAACAGTTCTGGCTGCATCCAAGAACAGTGAAACCCTGTAGTGGTAGCAGTGGAATCTGGCTCCTTGCAGGCAGAGGTGAAACATTTAACAGGAAATAAAAGTATCTGGCCTAGCAGAGGTGAGTTGGACCCCAACAAGTGGAAGTTCAGGTGTGCTGCCTTCATGTCCTGTGCCCCATCAGGGAGAACAAAGACTGGCTGCCTCTCTGCAGCCTTGTAGCTGCTAAAGTGGGCAAGATATTTGCTGGGTAAATGAACAAAATAAAAGCCTGGAGCGAAGCTGGGGAAAGGGCAGAGGTGGCACTCAGTGCCTGGTATCACATCTCATCCTCCCCATGGTTCTCCAGCAGAGCCCAGGCCACTGCCAGGGAGGTGTAGCTGTCTGGGTTGTTGGCCAGGCAGGGTGGGGGCTCCTGGCCAGGGGCGGTGATGGAGGGTCCAGGCAGGGGGGAGCAGAGTGGGCTGGACAATGGCCAGAGCTGGGGTGGAGGTGGCTGCAGCAGTTGGTTCCACATTGGCTGGTGGAAGGGGTTGCTGCTGACATGCCAAGTGCCAACTGCTCTGTCACCAGTAGGGCAGAGAGGTTGGAGTTCAGGTGGAAGTGGTTGAGGTTCCTCAGACCCTTGAAACTGCCTGGCTGGGGCTGTTCCAGCCTGTTGTCCCTTTGGTTTCTTCCCAGACCTGCCAGCCATCACTGCCCTCCACCTGTGTCCAGTGTGAGGAAGGGATGGTGCTTCAAGGATATTTGGGTGGTAGCATGAGGAATGGCAGTGGGCAGTGGGGCCAGGCTGCAGCTGGGACACTGGATACAGCATTGCTAGACTGTGGGAGCAGCTCAAGGAGGTGTGAGGGCCCAGCTGTGCTGGCAGCACCCAGCAGGTGCAGGGTGAAGACCATCAAACGGCACCAGCACTGGCCAGACTATGGCTGTGACGTTAAACAGGCACCACTGCCTTCACCTGACCCTCCCTTAGGCCAGCCATGAGCCCAAAATGGGTCATGGTGATTCAGCACAGGCAGTGAGCTCCTCAGGGTGACTTCTGCCAGCCTGAGGCAGATTCATCTCCTCTAGACCTGCATCCCCAATGGTCCTCCCTGCACAGCAGAGTGGAGCTGAGCATAAGAGGTGGTGCCTCCAAGCTGCTCACCACGTCAAGTCACCCTGTGTCCCAGGAGCACTAAACACGTCTGGGACCCTGCAGGGACAGAGGATGCAGCCCACTGCAGTGACCAGAGAGGCTTGCAGACCCTGGCCAGCATGTCCATCACCCATAGGTGGCACCAGGATTGGACATTCTGATTCTGGCAACTGAGATTGCTGAACAGGGGAAGGGCTTGAAGGGGAGAGAGACATTAGTATCAAATCTTCCAGATTTTTGTCAGGCCGCAGATCTGCTTGCGTTCCCTGGGAGAGTGAAACACTAATCCAGCAGGACTGCCCTTCTGCAAGCAAATGATGTGTCACGCAGGCACTGCCACCCCTGGCCTCTTCAAAAGAAGCAAAATGAGGAGAGCAGAAGGCTGTAAACATGGCACAGCCCTGCAGCCTGGTCAGCTGCCTCTTCCCTTTTGCTTGAGCTTACCGCTGCCATTGCAATTTTGGCTGGATGTCACCTTTCTGCCCTGTACCTCTGTAGCTCCTGTGACTAACAGCCAGGAAAGGAAAGGCAGAGCTCAGGAAACAGGGAGTGCAAATCCCACATGGGCTTTGCTGGGCTCGTGCTCCCAGCCCCCTGTGAATTAAGGGGGAGGCAATGTCTGGGTTGCTGCCCTCTCTCCAGAGGTGGCTTACCCTTCCTCCCCCTCTCCTCCTTTCCCTCCTCCCACGTTTCTGGCCCCGTCCAGTGAGCGCTGCTGGGAAAGCGACACAACGGGGCCCATTCAGTTCTTGCTTCTGCAAGGAGAGCAAACACCGGTGCAGGAGCCTGGCAGCTGCTACAAGGGGCAGGAGACGCTTTCCTCTCTTTCTTCGCCACTTCTTGAAGTCCAGGTACTCCCAACCCTGGTTGTGTGAACCCCTCAGGTGTGTGGGAGGCAGTGGTGGGGCGATGCCTGGCATGTGGCAGTGCCCCAGGCACAGCATGGGGACTGAGCTGGGGCGTTGCAGTGGTGGCACTTGCTGGTGGGCACACAGAAGGGGGGTGACCCCAGTGTGTGTGTGGGCTGCAGCAGGACTAGGTGTCCTGCTCCTTCAAGCAGGAGGGCAGAGTTGGGGCATGGACCCACAGGGGACGATGAGTCACAGTGGGCAAGGGGCTGTGCACCACAGTGGCTCCACAGGTTTGAGCCTTGCAGACCCCGCTGCTGCTGTCTTAGAGCCTAGAGGCGTGCGCTGACCATATCTGCAGCCCCACTGCCTCCTCTGCTTGCCCCAGCCTTGGCCTCTCTCTGGTACCTTCGCCCCAGGGGCTCACTCCTGCCCAGCCAAAACCAACTCGTCCTTCCTGCAGCTAAACAGTGGAGTTCTATTCCAAAAACCGCTATGAATAGCTTGAGGGGGAAGCAGAGAGCATGCAGGGTGGGAGGCACAGAGCTGGGGAGGCAGGAAGTGGCCATGGTGGTGGAGATATGGGACATTTGCCATTTAAAGAAGGGTGGCAGCTCGGAAGGCTTTGTGATCACATTCCCTGGGTGGCTATACGTGCTTGCCTTACAAAAAAAGCAGTTTTGGGAGGGATATTGATAGCTTGTACAGACCAAGGCAATCTTATGTTAGTGCTGTGTGAAGAAAAGGGGGGGGTGTGTATCAGCTTCAAGCCAGTTCCCCCGAGTGACCTGCTAGCTGTTACCTTCAGTTTTCATTCCAAGTATTTATCTTCTTTCTTCCACTCTCTTCCTCATTTATGACCCATGAAATCACAGTGTGAGAGCAAGAGACAGACCTGCCCCACCAGGTCACAGCAGCAGCCCCCTGGGTACTCTGTGTGCCAAGCCAGAGATGCTGTTTGGGGATGCACAGGAGCCTGGCCTCTTTCCTGGCCTCACTGCTGTCTCTCCCCAGCCATAGGTGCCCTCTGACATGAGGCTGTCCTGGGGGCTCCTCCTGCTGGCAGCAGCCCTGGGGGGAGCGGGTGCTGCCCGCTGCCCTGCACCCTGTGTCTGCGACAACCTCCGTGCCCACGTCCTGTGCCTCAATGGGAGCCTGGTGGCCATCCCTGACACCATCCCAGAGGTGGGCAAGGGAAAGATCAAGGGATGGGGAAAGAAGGTAGGTATGGTAGCCCTGGGGTAACTCAAGTGTTTTATTTGTGTGGCCAACAGCTCACCAAAAAGCTAGACCTTCGGGGCAACAGCTTCTCGGTCATCCCAGCAGGAGCCTTCCTTGCCACCCCCTACCTCACACACTTAGACCTGCAGCACTGCAAGGTGGAGAGGCTGGAGGAAGGGGCTTTCCGAGGGCTGGGAAGGCTGGTCTACCTTAACCTGGCCTCCAACAGTATAGCCCTTCTCTACCAGGAATCCCTGGATGGGTTGTCCTCCCTCCAGCAGCTCATCCTGGAGGGGAACCGCATTGAGGAGATCCAGCCAGGTGCTTTTGGCCATCTGGGGTCCCTCACTGTCCTTGACCTGAGGGCAAATGCCTTGGTCTACCTCCCAGACATGGTCTTCCAGGGTCTGCAGGTGCTTAGGTGGCTGCGGCTGTCCCACAACGCCCTCCATGTGCTGGGAAGCGAGGCCTTTGCTGCCCTGCCTGCCCTGCGTAGGCTGAGCCTGGACCACAATGAGCTGCAGGCATTGCCTGGCGAGGCCCTGGCCAGGCTGGATGGGGCTACCCGGCTGGACCTGGGCCACAACCCCATCACCTACGTGGCCGAGGAGGCCCTGGCCATGGCCTCGCTGAGGCACCTCTTCCTGGACCATGCTTCCCTCCAGGACGTGGCACCGGATGCCTTTGCCCGCAGCCCCCAGCTGCGTGTGCTGGACCTCCGCGAAAACCAGCTGCAGGGGCTGCCACCCCTGGCCGGAGCCGGGGGGCTGGCGAGGGTCAGCCTGCATGGGAACCCTCTGCTCTGCTCCTGCCTCCTGCGCCCCTTCCACAACTGGCTGACGAGGGCACGGGTGCAGGCTGAAGGTGCCTGTGCTGCACCCCCTGCCCTCCGAGGCCGGCCCCTTGACTCCCTGAAGCCCCCTGAGATGAGATGCAGTCGCCTCTGGCCACCCCCCAGCCCCAGCAGACCATCAGAGCAGCCAAGGGCAGCTGGCAGCAGGCGGTGCCCCCAGGGGTGCGTCTGCTCCCCCGATTTCCATCATGGGTCCTGTGAGAACAGGAACCTACAGAAGATCCCCCGGGACTTCCCCGGGGACACCCGCCTTCTCGACCTGCGCAGAAACACCTTCAGGACAGTGCCACCAGATGCCTTCCCTGGCCTGGAGGAGCTGGTGTCCCTCCACCTGCAGAGCTGCAGCATCAGGGCACTGCAACCCGGGGCACTGCGGGGGCTGGAGAGCCTGGTCTACCTGTACCTCACCGACAACCGCCTCTCCACCTTGGCAGCTGCTGCCTTTGAGGGGGCCCCACAGCTGGCCTACCTCGACCTGGATCGCAATGCCTTCACCCGTATGCCCGCGGGCGCCTTCCAGCTCCTGCCCAACCTCATCTCCCTCCACCTGCAGCACAACGCCATCGGGGAGCTGGCAGAGGGTGACCTGGCCGGAGCCAGGGGGCTGCGCTGGCTCTACCTCACTGGGAATGCCATCAGGCACATCGCCCCTGCTGCCCTGGCTCCTGCCAAGATGCTGGAGAAACTGCAGCTGGAGGGAAACCACCTGGTGGAGGTGCCCACAGCAGCCCTGCGGGGCCTGTCTGCCCTGAGTGAGCTAAAGCTGTCCCGAAACCCCATCAAGCGCATGGGGGATGGTGTCTTCCTGCCGGTGGCCTCCAGTCTGCAGCACTTGTATCTGGACAACACGGGCCTGGAGCAGGTGAGTGCAGTACAGGACTCCTGAGGGGCAGTGGCACCAGAGGGCACAGCCACAGGTCCCATCTTCTTCCACACTGCAAAGGGCTGGTGGCCCCTATAGGAGCATCCAAGCAGATGTCCCCAAATTCCCAAGGCTTCAGGAGATGCTCCATAGCCGGGCTGGGAAGAGACTCAGCTGTAGAATTGCCTTACTGCAGCCTTGTCCACAGCTCCCCTGGGACAGGCTTACTCCCTCCAGTCTTTAAGGACATTTACCCACCATTTCAGTGGGGCCCAGATCATCTCCTTTTCCCAACCCCAGCCAGATTTCTCTTTCTCTTATTACAGGCTGTCCTGCAGGACTTTTCACTGCTATTACCCCAAATGTCTCCATCCTCTCAAGAAAGAAGTGTTAGCAACACCCTCATCATAAGGACTGTGTATCTTAACAGCATCCAGGGCTCACTCTGAGACCTCCTGCATGTCTCATTCTTTCTATGAAGACTGAAGGGGGGTCTATTGAGCCCCAAAATGTGACTGAAACTGCTTGAACTAATTAACAGTCCCCCATTTAAAGCAGCTCTTTTGTGGGGCCTCCAGGTTCAGGACAGGCTCCCAAGCTGATTAGCAGTGCAGGGGCAGAGATTTGCTCCCCTGCCCCCATCAGGACCCTCTGACTCACCCTCCCTCTGTTGCAGATTTCCCCTCATGCCTTTGCTGGCCTTGGTCCCAAGATCAGAAGCCTCTACCTGGAGAGAAACAAAATGAGCAACATCCCCGATATGAGCAACTTCACGAGTCTGGAGATCCTCAACCTGCAGGATGTACCTTTCCACTGCGACTGCCAGCTCCTTCCCCTGCGCAGGTGAGTGCTGCGAGGGCGGAACAGCCTCAGGGATCAACCTGGGGGGCAGTTGGACCTTACCATGCCAGAGGCACAAGCTCACGGCACACTGGCCACTTTAGGTCCTCTCCCACGGTGGTGATATGGAGCATGCACCTATGTGCAAGGATGCACGTAGCCTCGGCTTTCCTGGTATAGGGAAAGCACCCATAAGTTGGGTTTGGCAGATATTCAAGATATTCAAAGGTCATCCAGGTGAGACTCTAAGCAACCTGGAGAGACTTTGAAGTGATTGTCCACTCATGGGCAGAGTTCCACCTCTCCCTTCACCCTGTCCCATTTCTTTCCCTGATCTTCTGCCACATTTCCAGGTGGATCAACAAACTCAACCTCCGTGTAGGGGCCACCTGTGGGTCCCCTGCAGAAGCCCAGGGGCTGAAGGTAAAGCTTTCCACCACTTTCCAAACCTGCCCTGGCTGGGGCCGAGGTGAGGCTGGGGAAGCCAATCCTGAGAAGACTATGGCTGCAAGCAAGCCCAGCAAGAAAAAGAGATCAGGAAAATCTCCAGCCAGAGGCTTCAACAAGAGCAGAGCTTAAGGTTTCCTAAGGCGTGCAGGACATAACAGAGCCACACTCACACTCTGGTGAGAGCAGTTTTTTCTAGACTTGTCCCCACCATGGAGACATGGATATTGCCCAGGGCTCAAAGGAGAGAGCCTGGTGCCACCAAAACAATGCTGATTTGCCAAAGATGCAGCGTTTGGTGTTGCAGGATACAGCGGCACGTTCCATAGGGTCTGCAGCATGCTTTGATGACTCAAACAACAAAGTCAAATACTTGCTTTTTTTTCTTCCCAAGGCTTCCTTCAGCCATGTGGAAAGGCCAATATCCACAAGTTTGTTTTTGTTTTTAAGCATGCCGCGCTTTCACAGCTTCTGAAGTCATCAAAGAGCCCCAATGGGCACCAACCAGTAAGATCCAGCACTGGTGCAAATCTTACGCTAGAAAACTTAAAAATATCAGTGAAAGCATTGCCTGAATTCCCAGAAGCTCCTCAGAATTAAAACATAAGCAGATTGAAGCCTTTTTATTTCCTGCAAAATTCGATCAGTGGTCTGACTGATGAAATGGGATCAGTGATCCTGTAAGTGATCCCATCATAAGCAAAGTGCCCAAATCCTTTCCCATGGAAGCCTAGGTTGGGATGAAGTTTGTTCAAATTGGAAAGGTTTTAAAAGATAAGCATTAAACTACCCTGTGGGGCATAGAATTATTACAGCAAAAAACAGGTGAAAGAAAGCCAAAGGTGTTTGGAAATTATCATCCTCTAAAGAGAGGTGGCCCTACAAGCCCAGCTGTTTGACAAGGCTGGGAAAAGGTCAGCCCAAGAGAGAGGGGAAGAAAGAAAGGCAACGGCTTTGCCCTGAAATGAGATCCTCCCACACTGAAACCTACTGCAGAGCTACCAGGAAAGGCAACTAGCCAAAGGGAAGCCCTGCTACATGCTTTCCATAAAAACTTCCACTTCTTCCAACCATGCCGACTCTAGCACAGTTCCCCCAGGAGCCCAGGGCCCTCACGAGGATCACCTAGGGATGGCACATATCTTGTGCCTGGTTTGATGCAAACTTTCCACAGTTTTTCCACTTATGTTTCATTGCTCCGGCCAAGCCCCTTCTTCCCTCTCCCTTTAAAGGCTCCATTTGCTTCTTTAAAAGGGAAAAGAGGAATACTGTGTTAATTATTCCCAGTATCTACCCTGTGCTTTCTAGACAGTTAGCTTGCCAACCTTATTTTTTCGGTCATGAATCATACTGCAAAGCAAGAGCTATTGTGGCATCTCAAGCTCTCGCCTGGAAGCTTGAGGGGCACGTGGCCCAGGCAGCCATTTTGTGGCCAAAGCAGCATCCTCTGCAGCCACCATTTCCCTGTTTTGTGCCACAGTTTGCCAAGGCACTTGTCCTGCAGCCGCCTGGCCCTGCAGTGGCCCTTCCTTACCTGCAGAAAGTTCTCAGGAACCTGCTACAGGAGATTTAAAGCTATTTCTCATCACTGTTGTCATATTCTTTCCTGAATTCTGTCCTGAACTTCAATGGCCAGTCTAGAGAAAGAGAGGAATATTACAGTTTCACCCTAAAACTGGAAAAAGCATTCCCTGTCTTCAGTTATCTGAAGTTATTATGTGCTCTTGTGATATTTAACCCTTACATAGAACTGGCAAGTTGACAGCAGTGAGTGCATGGAAAAACCCTACTGCATGCTTAAAAAAACCCCCAAATCCCAAATACTGTTTATTTATACCTACCCCCTTACAGCCCTCTTCTCCCCATTTTGGCTAACCCTGGTATTTCAGTGACCCAGAAAGCAATGCACAAGCCTTTGGCCTCTTCCTCAAGTTTAAGTCACAGGGCTTTAGGGTACAAAATCATAGATGAAATTTACAGTAGGACTGTTAAAAAACTAAAAATGCAAATCACGTTCCAAGTCCTTTGCAGATCTGGGTTCATAAGCAAGAAATGATAACAGAAGAAGATACATAGTACAGATCAATGTCTGGCTTCAAGGCTGGTGCCATTGAGGTTTTGCCTTTGGTGACAATGGGGTGTGCTTTAATGATTGTAGCCAATTAGGAAGGGATAAGATCCACCTGTCTAAAAAGGGCAAGAGAATCTTTGGCAGCAGGCTGGCCAGCTTGGTAAGACAGGCTTTAAACCAAAGGACTTGGGTCAGGGGTGTGTGATCAAAGCGCCATTGCTTCCTATTGGGGAGTAGGCCATACCAATCAGGGCAGTGAAAGATGTTCCTTGACTGCCCCTCAAGTCATGGATCAAAGGGTTAACTATACTGAGGGTGTTTAAGGTTGTGGTCACTCCTCTTATTCCCCCTTCTAGGGAACCAGATTGCTTGATTACACTGCATGTGAGGAGGGAGGGGGACCGATATCAGGCTTATCCCTGGCAATTTGGGGGATGGTTTGAAAAGGTTAGAGGGAGAGGGTGCTAATGAGGCTCCTCTGCAGGTGACTCTAAGTGGTACTAGACACAGTGGAGCACATCTGCAGTCTTACAAAGGTGACACGGCCGACAGCCCAACCCAGCTGCCTTTACACCAAAGCACACAGCATGGGCAACAACCAGGAGGAGTTGGAAGCCACTGTGCTGCTGGAAAGTTATGACCTTGTTGCCATTACCGAAACTTGGTGGAACAAATCCCGTGACTGGAGTGCAAATATCAATGGCTACGGGCTGTTCAGAAGAGACAGGAAAGGAAGAGGTGGAGGGGTTGCCCTCTACATGAAGAGGAGAACTAACTGTGAAGAGCTGTCTCTGAACAACAGCCATGAGCATATTGAAAGCCTGTGGGTAAAAATCAGACTGAGGCAACAAAGGGAACCTCGTGGTTAGAGTCTACTACAGGCCACCTGTAGGGGAGCCTATTGACAAAGCCTCCCTGCTCCAACTCCAGGAGACATCGTGCTTGCAGGCTATTCCTGCTGGGGGACTTCCACCACACGGACATGTGCTGGAAAAGTAGCATGGAAGCACCTGTCAGCCTCATCTCTGTGCCTGGGAAGGTCATGGAACAGATCCTCCTAGAAGCTATGCTAAGGCACATGGAGGACAGGGAGGTGATTCGGGACAGCCAGCAGGGCTCCACAAGGGAAAATCCTGCCTGACCAGCCTAGTGGCTTTCAATGATGGAGTGATTACATCCGTGGATAAGGGAAGGGCTACAGAAGTAATTTCTCTGGACTTCTGCAAAGCCTTTGACACATTCCCCCACAACACCCTTCTCTCTAAACTGGAGAGAGATGGATTCAATGGGTGGACTCTCTTCCAGGTCCCCTTCCAACCAAAACCATTCTATGATTCTATGAAAAAAGGTCCCTTGCTCTTTCAAGAGGCATCATCATCTCTTTTTTTTTTTTCTTTTCATCTCTTTCCCCCCTTCCTGTCCTGACTTTCTCCAGGGCTTGCAGAGCCTAGACCAGGGAACACAGCACCAACATCCTACGAGGACAGCCCCTTTCCTGACACATGGGGCCTGCACACATCACCTCAATCCACAGCTTGTCACCTCCAGCCACAGCCAAGAACTCAAACTGCCCCTTTGTGTTCTGGTAGCTTCTTTGCCCGTTGTGAGCTCCCACTTCAAAATGTGCCTTCAAAGTCAGGCACACGCAGCCCCAGCAGCCACCCTGGTCATTCTCCTCAGTGTGCCTGTGGCCTTTCTGCTGTTTCCCAGGGTTTAGTATTACAGTTCTGGGGGAAATTTTCTTGCACACCAGGAAAGCAGAGTTGTGATGCTGCAGGGTGGTCTGCTTTAAAAAGGGAAGGCCCTTTTAGTCTTCTGCTTCCCTCTGCCAGGACCTTCCCCAGAGGACCACAAGGTGAAACTGCTGTGGGCAGCTGGGGGATACTCCAGGATCAGTCTGCGTCCTCCTGCTTTATGCTGCTGATGGGAACAGGAAGTCCTGTGTCTCCAAACTCTGCATCTGAGGGGTCGATGGTTTCTTCTTTCACCTGCACGGCAATGACTAGCAAGAGACAGAAAGAGAGAGGCAAAAATAAGTAAATAAAATCAACCTCCAAACCAGCTCTATTCATGCCCCAGATTTCCAGCTCACTTCTTGAGGGTCCCTCACCACAGGCAGCCCTGTCATGCCAGTGAAAATTGATCCATGGTCACAGCACCAATCAGAATGGGATTAAACCCTGGCAGCATTCAGCTGCTGGCTCCCAAGAACATCTTTTCCTAAGGGACAAAAAGCTGGTGTGGTCCATTCTCTACCTGCGTGGGTTCACCCAGGGGAAATTTAACTTCAGTGAACCAGAGGGACCTTCATGAGGTTCCATTCCCATGTGCACAAGGCACCTCACCCACCCTCCTCCCCACTAGGGTTGGCAGGTGACCCATCCACTCTTCTGGTCACCACAGCACAATGGGCTGTGTTCACATGCTGCAACAGCCCTTAGGGGGACTGGGATATGACAGTCAGCTCTGCCATATTCACCTTGTCTCTCCTCCCTAACTGACCTCACACAACCAGACTGCTTGGTAAGGCACCCAGGCCCTCAGCAGGCATCAGCAGTATCAGGATATCGAGCTGTACTGGTGCCACCAAACCTTCTCTGGAAGCAAGAAGTTTTTCTTTTCCCAGGGAAAGCCAGCAAACCCTTCCTTCCACTCTCTCTGTCTCTGGAGGAGTAAGGAAGGACATTTCACACACTGCTGGCTTTCCCTGCCTGGGGGCACCCATGACTTAACGGCCAAGAGGTGGCACAGGCCTCAGGAGGGTTGGTGGCATGCAGGGTGTACATAGGAGAACTGGATGTGGCTGCTGGGTAAAGTCACTCACTCCCTTACTCTCATCAGGTGCTGGCTCTGGCAAAGCCTGGCTGGCAGCTTTTGCTTCTCGTTTTGTATTCGAGGTGGAAGGCTTCTTGACAGTCTGCTTGACACTGCGGGCTTTGGCAGCCAACTTTTTTCCTTAATAAAGAGATAACAGAGTATGGGGAAAAGTGCGTTTCCTTTCCCCTGTAAAATCAGCAACCCTGCTCCACTGAGAAACCACAGGCCAGGGACCAGCACAACTGAACAGAAAGCTACACGGTCATTAGCTGCCAACTGGTTACGCGACAGAAATAGCCTACTGGAGAAAAATTCTATTGTCATCATCTCAAAATATGCTCCTTCGTGTTCTCCTTCATTAAAGGCAAGGCACTTCAGCGTGTGCTTAAATTCCAAGGAGCAAGTCTTGTTGGAATCAGTGTGGAGTCAGCTTTGCTTACCTGTCTGGCTCTAGTCCTAGGCAATGAGCTTGTTGGCTGCAAGGCACGGACACTGTAACCATAATGTTCTCATGTTTAGCTGACCTTTTTATTTAGGTTGCATGTCTTTATATTCTTTAGACTTCCTTTCCTCTCCACCCCCCCGGAAGGAATTTCTTGTCTGTCTACGTGATTTGCCACACCTACTGCAACAATGACAACAACAACGACAAGATGAAACAATAAAATGGTTCAGCCCCATTACTGGCCTCTTCAGCCATCTTAAGGCCTTCTTTCCCTCAGCACAAAGCAGGCAGGGTTGCTCTTCAGCTACCCTGCAGCTGCAGCAAACATCTCCCTCCGACCATGGACACAGTAGGGAAAGCAGCACAACCTCACACCTGGAAGCAAGTGCCAGTCAACAGAAAACAGACTGCAAAACAGATCCTTCCCACACACAGCTCTCTGCTCTTTAGGTAACAGGGCAGGTAAGAAGGATGAAGCTGTGCTGGCAAACCCACAGCTGACTGAGGGCATCCACAGCAAGACAAGGCCTCTCTCTCCTGCTCTGATGGGACATGGACAGGGTTCCTCTAACTGGGCCCAGCCTGCGAGCGAGCGGGAGGGCACTAATCAAACATCACTCACTCTTCTTTCCATAGGGTTTCTTCTTCTTCTTGGGCACCTCCTTGGCCTTCACTGGAGTTGTGGGCTCTGTCATGGAGACGAGAGGGAAACGAAAGCCAAGTCCCATAACCAGTAGGTAACTGGGATGAAGTGACAAAAGCGAGAAACAAGATATACCCGTCCCCCCAAGCCAAAGCCCTCTTCCCAAGACAACCAGCTGAGGAGAAAGCAAGGCTCTAGCACAGGTGCTGTCTGTGCTTCCAGGCAAGGGCCCAGGGCGGCAGGCTGGGGCAGCACAGGGGAGAGAGGCCCAGTACAGACTTGGTAGGGGCAGTAAAGAAACAAGATTCGTAGTTTGGGACAAGAAGGAAAACATCTGCAAAGGTGAGGCAGTGGCCTCCCTGTGACAAGGGAAGGAATAAACTCTCGAGATGATGCTCTTACCTTTTACAGACAGAGTCAGAGAGTTGATGAGAAAAGGGAGCATGGGCCAAGCTCCCCCCACTACCTGGCTAAGGGTTCATATAGATACACTTAGTAAAAGGGAGCTGTGCAGGGATAGGACCACCTGGAACTTTATCCAACTTCATCAGGAGCAATTAATTCTCTGTTGGTGTGCAGGTGGGGGAACAGAGGGAAAACAGAGCCAACCTCAAATCTCAGGCTGTTTTCTCCCCACCAGACTCCTCCCTCTGCCAGCAGCTAGAATGTGGCAGCAGAGGAAGATTTATGGTAGCCAGTGCAGATCAAGGAGGCCATATGCTCCTCCCTACTAGGCTCAAAAAACAAAAGAGCCACTCACAGAACATGAGGAAGTAAACCTTTGTCTCTAGCGTTGAAAACCACAGTAAAATCGTCACTCACCTGGAACAACAGGTGGTTGAAGCTGGTAGCCTGTCAGCTCACACCACCCCACAGGATAAATGTCTGGAGACTCGCAGTCCACCCACTGGTCATACTCATTGTCCCAGCCATCGAAATGGATGCTAAGGAGACGCTGGACCACACGCTTCACTGTGGCCACGCAGATGAGCCGGGGCTCCATCAGGTCCACTGCCTCTACCTTCATGCCTGCCTTGAAGCCATGGTTTGGACAGTCCTGGGTGCATAAAAAGTGAAAAAAGAAAACCCAAGGCCATTTTACCCAGTTCAAACCTGTATCTGTCCACCAACACCATATAAAAGGCTAGCCTCCAGCCTAAAGCAAGCAGACAGAGAACAAGCCCACAGATCCAAAACCAGATCCAAGGCCAGCTATGTCCTTAGTCGATCTCAGTGTAGCCTTTAGAAGCAAGATCCTGACCTGGAGGGAGCAGCAGGCAGCAGTTAAAGGACACCTTATGATCAAACCCATTACCTGACATACCCTTGGGAAATCACAGAGACCAGCACAGGCCCAGGTGCTTCAGCAGTTTTGCTGGTGTAAAGCAGCCCCCATCCTCCACCCGATATGCCAGCCACACATCCACAGGCAATAAGCCATGCAGAGCCCACCAAGAGCCTGGAGCTCACAGAAACACTAGAAAATCACAAGTCACACTCAGAGGGACCAAGATATCATTCCACCCACAGAGGCAGGACACTGATGTCCCAGGCAGCAAAACAAGGCTTTTACTTGGAGTGCACATACTCCCAGGCCTTGAGCTCTCCTTAGAAGTGCTGACTGGCAGCAAATTGCAGCCCAGTAGAGACATCGGCTATTGTCTATCCTGACTTCAGGATGGCTTTTGACACTGTCTGCATATGATCCTCATACAGAACATGATTGAAGTATACAGGCTGGGTGAGGAGACAGATAGATTGAAAGATAGATTGAAAACTGGCTGAGTGGCTGGGCCCAGAGGATGGTTATTAGCAGCACAAAGTCTACTTGGAGGCCAGTAATTAGCAGTGTACCCCAGGCATCAATACTGGATCCAATCCTATTCAATGTCTTCATTAATTATCTAGATGACATGACAGTATCATGTCAAACCAAGCAAGCTTACTTTTGATAGAAAACTGGGAGACCAAATATACTAGAGAGTTGTGCTGCCATCCAGAGGCACCTTGACAGCTGGAGAAATGGTGAAGTCCTGCACTTGTGGAGAAAGAACCCTAGGCACCAGCACATACTCAGGGCAGACTGACTGGAGAGCAGTTCAGCAGAAAAGGGCCTGGGAAACCCAGTGGACACCAAATTTAATATGAGCCAGCAATGTGTCTTTGGGACAAAGAAGGCTAATGGTAACCTGGGTTGTATTATGAGGAATGTTCCCAGCAGATCAGTGGAGGTGATCCTTCCCCTCTGCTCAGCACTGACAAGGCCACACCTGGAATGCTGGCTCTAGCTCTGGGTTCCCCAGAACAAGAGAGACATGGACATACTGGAGTCCAGCAAAGGGCCAGGAAGATGATGAGGGAACTGGAACACTTTTTGTATGAGGAAAAGCTGAGAGTTGTGAGTATTCAGCCTGGCGAAGAGAAGGCTCAGGGGGATCTTATTAATGTGTATAAATGCCTGAAGTGAGGGTGCAAAGATGGAACCAGACTCCTCTCAGTGGTGCCCAGTGCCAGGACTAGAGTCAATGGGCACAAACTGAAACACAGGAGGTTCCCTCTGAACATCAGGAGACATCTTTTACTATGAGGGCAGCTGAGCACCGGCAGAGAGGTTGTGCAGTCTCCATCCATGGAGATATTCAAAAGTCATCTAGACATGGTCCCGGCCAACCTACTACAGGTAACTCTGCTATAGCAGGGGTGTTGGACAACAAGAACCTTCCACCTAAGTGATTCTGTGACAGCTGGAGCTCTTGTGTTCCTCCTTGCTGAATCCAAGCATCCCTACACATCTCTTCTTCTTGGCAGCACTCACTGTGTTGAAGAGCCGTGATGGAGCAGGTCTTGATTTAGTCTCTTCCAGGTAAATTTCCCAGTTGAAGGTCTTTGCATCTTGCCCTGCAGCAGGAAGAAATGCTAAGAGGTAAAAAGGCAGTCACTGGGTCGACCAGTTGGGGGAAAAGGCAGAATAGGCAGGAAGGAAGCTCAGCACCTGTTTTTGCAAAGCAGTTTCATGAACCAGCATGTACAGCCTGATCTTGGACATAAACCTAGAGCCCAGATTCCATGGAGTCCAGCACCCCTCCCCCGTGGGCAAATACAGAAAAGTGCAAGCTGCAGCTCTGAACATCTGTCTGCCATAGATCCAGACCACAGAGAAAGCTGAGGAGCAGCAGCAGGTAGGAAGAAATACGTTCAAAACACACTACTAAGACCAATCTTTCTCCCACCAGCAGGAACAAAGGAAGACAGAACAACACTGCACAGAAGTGCTGCAATACAGAAATTCAGAGCAGGCCTTTTTGTGTATGGCTAGGTGAGGCAGCAAAACCATTCCTAGGGTGACTGCCTCTTATGAGTTTGCAGAAACACTGGTCTCAGATTTATTCATAGAAAGAATAGAGATGACTCCTGACACTGAAGGACTGACTCATGCAGCAATGGCTCTACTTATCCCTTCCCATCCCCCTTGTACTTTATACCTTCCATTCTGTTCAGTTTGGGGATTGTACACCTCTCCTACTGAATGGCCAGAAGCTAACCAAGACCTGGCATATGGGCAGAGCTCAAGTGGCCTGGCTCTCTGACCTAGCCTTATCTCTCTGAAAAAGAAGCAGATTGGGACCTTGTGGTTTTGATTCATCTGAACCTGACCCTCTCAGAAAAGCACTGCCCAGCAGGTTCTGCATGCAGACTTGTACCACAGGGCAGAGTCCAAATCTCACCTTTTGGAGGGGTCAGGTCGATGCTGTTCCTCTTACAGAAGTTGACGGGGAAGATGGCGTGTGAGGAGGCGTGATAGCAGAACCAGTCGGAGCCATCAGCAGACGTGGCTCCATCAATGCCGATCATGAGGTACCCATCCAGGAGGACCTGAGATGGGAGGGAAGGGCACGAGTATAGAGCTTTGCTTGCTCTAAAGCCTCTCCTCTCAAAGGATTCCCCCAAGAATCCCCACAGATCAATCACAATTGTCACCAGACAGTAAAATGCAATATTATATGCTCCAGGGCATGCAGTAGCCTCTCCTGATAGGTTAGTCAACACAAGCTAATCCCCAAAGCAGCAAGTTCTGCAGGACTGGGACCAACAGTAATAGCAACAGTATAGTGAAAGAACTATATGAAAAGCCATAAATGGTCAGGAGCTCTGTTCTCTCTCAGAGACACTTCACTGGCAGCCCAGAAACCCTCTATATCAGCCAGATCATGAATTTGTTTCTGGGCAGAAGGGAAGGGCACCACCCTTGGATTTGCCACTTCCTACAGCAACAAGACTTGTCCCACCCTGTAAATCACTGGTAATTGGTGCCTACCAAATGTAACAGGCATGCCTGCCCCATCCTCTTCCATTTCCAAGCAATGGCTGAAGGGAACATTTTACAGACAAAGAACTCTTCTACCGTCCTCCAGCCAAGCTCCAAGTCTCAAAGTCCTCTGCTTGGATTCTATGAGGGCAAACAGCTTTAGAAAGCAGGAAAAGCCCAAGCTGATGCTACACCTTAGGATGTACAACGCACCTCACTGAGGAAACCTGGGCAAGCAATTTACTTCCCCCACACTAGCACAACAGTAGAGCTTACTACCACCTCATCAAGAGAGACTGAAGGAAACATGTCCATCCATCCTCAGCTTCCTACACCAGTGAATGCTGCCCATACAGAAACTCATCATTCCTCACACAGAGGTCACCTCACAACTCTTGCCTTCTCCTTTCCACAGAGGCCTCTCGTTACGCACTCTCAGAATCAGAGAACAAATCTTCCTTACTGTATGCCCAAGGGTGGAAAACAGGTGGCTGTCAGTCACACACATTGGACAGCTGGCTTGCAGACAAAGCACGCTCATCTTCGTGCTGTCCACTAAGGCACATGTGGACAACTGCTGGTCTTAATCAGTTTCTCAGACCTCTGAGGTAACACCCCAGTTCCCTCCACACACCAGCTGTCTACCTCTCTCAACAGCTCTCTCCTCTCCCTCATGCAAAATCCTGTCCAGTCTTATTCATTTGAAAAGACCTGAGAAGCTCGACCACCTCAGGTAAACACGGCAGACCCCCTGCTTAACACGCACTGAACTTACCTTGCAAACAGTGGCCACACAAATGTTGCCCAGATTCAGGGGGTCAATAGCTTCCAGTTTCATGCCTTCCTCAAACCATCCACCTTCAGAATAGACAGCTCGTACCTAAGGAAGACTCTGGTGTACCATGTGCTGCCAGGCATGGGACAGTCCCATCCTGACACCAAGTGCAGCAAGCGCAAATAGAATTAGAACCTCTTTACTTGGTTCAACTCAGGTTGGGAAGGGAAAGAAGAAATATTACAAGAAATACAAAGCAACACAAACCAACATTGTGTTTGTGTCAGCAACTTCCTGCCAAGGCTCTGGTCAGTCAGAGAGCCAGGCCCAGCACTCAGCTGCTGCTCCACAGCAAAGCAAGCCCTCATCTCAGGCCCTACCAGCATGATCCAGCTCTTTGTCCAAACTGGTCTCTCTCATGCACTCATCTTCCCTCTCCAACTCAAAACTTCAAGCAACTACTTGCCCTTCAATCGAGTCCCTCAATCTGTTGCTGTCTTTTAGTTCTTCCAACTTTCTATTTTGGCCTGCCCCTGCCCAACCACAGCCTTGATACCCCAAACACCTTACTGCCCTTAGCTGTAAGTGACAAATGAACCACCCTCAACAACCCACACGGCAGCATGTACACCGAAGGAAGGAAGTGCTGTAAACCCACAGGGAAAGGCAGACTTGTCCTACCTTCTTAAACAGATAGGGGACGGCATCACAGTAAATCTTCCGGAAGGTAGGATGGTTTGCCATATCATTGCGCTTTTCTTCTGTGAGGAATGGAAGAAACGAAGGTAAAAAACCTGCAGCAACTGCAGGAAGAAAACCTACTGGTTATTAATTTCCTGGAGAGAGCTTAGTTGCTATTAAGACCCTCGACAGGAGACCATGTAATAGAAAGAACAATTCAGTTCCTCTACACCTTCTCATAAAACAGGCTGTGATGCAGGACTTGCTCAAAAGCAGATGGCTCAGCTTCCTGAGCACTACTGATAACATATGCAGCTGTAATCACCAGGGAGAGGTAGCAAGGAAGAGACACAACCAAAAAGGATCAGCAGAGTCCAAGCCTTACTTTTTTCTGCCAGTCTAAGCTGATCAACAATTCCTCTTGGCAAAGTCCAGAAAAACACAACTTGATGGCATCCAGTGCTACAGAAGCCAGCATGAATTTCCTCAAAAAGACTATAAACATCTGTGATGTTGCAAAGTCTGCATTCTCACACTGAGGGGATAGACTACCTGCTTCAGGTGAGAAACCCTACAATCCCCTGTCTTGACCTGTGGTAGCAGATCACAGGGCTTTTATCTATCCAGGGGAAAAGCAGCAGACCCAAAACTAAGCAGACTTTATCTGTCAGGTCCTGAGGCAACTGTCTGACTCCCAGAATGCCCAGCCTGGTGTCAACAGCAGGGTCTGGACAGTTCACAGCAGATCAGAAGATGCTTTGCAGTGGCCCAATCTTTACCTGTCTTCTTTATGTCATGGCCCACTCTCCGTGACCAGCCCACGGGATGGATGAGGGGACTCCACATGTGGCACCAGAAGTCATCGTCGCTGTCACCGTCCTCATAGAGGAGTCTCAGTCTGCCCCCAATCACTGTGTCCACCACTGCCATGCGTGTCTGGGACACATGGTTCTTATCCACCACCTCGACTCGCATGCCCTGCCGGAACGGGTACTTCATGCTCTCTGCCATCTGGCAACAACCGACAGAGGAGGTGAGGTCAATCACACTTGGTGTTTTCCTTCTCCAAACACTTCAGAGAACAACTTTCCCCACAGACACGCTGGCCAAACCCCGGCACTGCCCAAAGCTGACTGGGAAGGAATGCATGGGAGAGGGTTGATTAGGGGGACAGGGAGCTGCCAGCCCCAGACCTGACAGCATGGCTGGGCACATATTCCCTAAGTCTCCCTTGTCATGTGGCCTCATAAGAGCTACCCCTGCCCCAGCCCAGCAGCTACGCCCAGCCAGCACCTTGTGTGAACGTTCTTAGTGTGAACTGCTGTTCAACAGGAACTGCGTGAGGAATTGTGTGCCTTTTTCAGTCACGAAAGAGACCACGAGGCTTTCAGAGCTGGAAGCAGCTAGAGGTGTAGCTTCCCAAAGGGCAACAGAATTTTCAGTTCACTTTAAGAGAGGTCAGGTTCTTATTTTTCCCTTTTTACTCTGATCAGAGGTTGAGCTATATGTTGATCTACCTGCCAACTCCACATCCAAAGCTAGAGTTACTCTGCAGACTGACCCAAAGGCACAGGCGTAGGGAAAGAGTCACTGGCTGCCTTCTAACTGATTTTTTTGAGACCTTCAGTTTGCTGATACAGCCTAGTCCTACTCATCCTCAAATGCCCAAAGGTGTTTAGAGAACATCTGACATTTTGGAACTGTGATCCCAAATGCTGTGCAGCAACTAGGAACCACAAAACAGACTCAGACACCCAAACCAGCCTACACCCGAATCCAGAACTTTTAAGCTAAGGACTTCCCCTTCCACCTCCTGTTCATTAAGTGGGAGTGGAGATGTCGAGGGGAGAAAGATACTGTCCATGTTTGTTTCCCTCTACCACTTCCACTCCAGCTACAAGCTGTGGCCCAGGAACAAGCAGCTACAAACACCCGCTTAACTTGCATGGGAAACACCAACTACATCAAGGTCTCCAACTCAGTGTCATCACTTACCCTGCACACAGAAAAACCCATCACCTGCCTTCCTGCCTGCTGTCTCTGGGACCATCTTCCTTATCTGTCATTTCCAAAGCTGTCAGCCACAAAAGAGCCTCTTCTCTCTGACAAGGTCTAATCTCGGTGCAGGCTACATGAAAACAACCATAAGAGCTAAAAAAGCTGCTAAGGCTACAACACTTCCAAGGAGTCTGTGCCTCTCTCACTCCCTCCAGGTTTCTGTGTTTACCAACACTGAAGGCAAAGGTTTTTGACTCTCAGAGCTATTCTCTGGCACTGAAACAGGGTGGGGAAAGGCCAGGTTGCATCTGCACCAGCCTCTCCTTTCAGCAAAATGCCAAACCTCACCCCCAGTATTTCCCAGCAGACTATGTGACAACAGCTTTTAAAGCCCACCTATGACCCAAAGGAAAAACTGTTGTGTTGACAGGGCACAAAGGCTGTGCCATTACCCACAGCATCACGACAGATACCTTAGGAGCATGGGGAACCACTCACTGCCCCTGCCCTGCCCAAGTGCCAAGGCACACAGAAGTTGCACAGATCAGAACAGAAGAGACGTGTTGAGCACACATTTCTTGGCTTCAGCTTCATTTCCCCATGCAAAATGACAGTCTCCCATGTTTACCTTCATGTGAAAATCCACTGGGATGGTCCTAGCTCCCACCAGTTTTTTCATGAGGTAACTTCTCCAGTCAGTGTACTTGGCATGGATAGCTACATACACACAGGGAAAAAGCACATTTTTATGACTGAAATAATTACAGCACCACCCTACACTTTTCCATCTCTCCAAGAACCTATTTGCATTAAAAGGCCTTATTCACATTCAGATTCTGTACTCTCATTCTACCAGCTTGCCCCCACAACAGGCTGCAAGGGATCACTGTTACAGAATGGACTGGGCCAGACACTCAACACCACTGATCTAGATGAGGAAGTGGTAGAAGAACAAAAACACGTGAGCCATACAAAGCAAATTGAGCTCGCACGAATTCTGCTAAACTGGAACCCCTCTCTAAACTGCTAGCTGAGCAAGGACTGGAGCCACTGCACTTCTCAGAGACACTGTCCAGGATGTAAGACCAAAACGTTCCCCCAAGGTTAAGTCCAGCCACCATGTGGAGTAGAAGGAGGAACAGCCACCTGCATTAGTCTCCACAGTCTGACAACAGCTCTGCATCCAGCATCCCCAGGGTCAACCACAGGGAGGTGCAGAGGGAGCAGTCCAAGCAATCTCCAGCTTCCCAAAGAACACATTGTTGCTTGTAACTCAAAGCACAAATGCAGCTGTGGTCCTACATACAGTGGGAGCACCTGTCCTCCTGTGCTAGGCGTACACCAAGGCTCCTCCATGCCCAGGAACATCCTGATCCCTCTTGCCCCACACTCACTTTGTGGTGGTACCAGGATTTTGCTGTTGATGGCACACCAGCCAATAGGGTGAATATCCACTGTGCCCAAATTGCACCAGAAGTCATGGCCAGCATCATTTTCAAAGCCCTCATATCGCAGAAGGGCCCGGTATCCTGCCAGGACAGAGCAGACAACCAGACAAAGGCATTAGAGGTCAAGAATTTGGCACCGCAGGCTTAGTACCTACAGTATGGCCTTCAGAGCTCTGCACAGATTATCAGAGCTTCTCCAGACATTCTGGAGGCAGAACTATTCCTGCAAATTGCCCAGCAACCAAAAGAGGAACCACATGCTGGTTTCCTCTCATTCCTGCACCCTGGTATTTCCTGTCCCAAAATCTCTCAGCAGTTGCCTATCTCCAAAGAGGCGCTGTTTTGCTTGACCAGCTACACTCAGCTCTCTAAAGCTTCCCTCAGAGGTTAGCCATCCCCAGCTGCCAGGAATTACATCAGAGACGTACCTACGATCTGGATGACAGATGCAATCCAGTACACACGGCTGGGGAGCACGGCATCACTGTTCAGCACTTCCACTTTCATACCTTTCACCACATCATCCCACTGATCGAAGAGCGGCACCTGAAAGATTGAGGCAACCACATTGGGAGAGATGTGGACAATGAGAGCAGGGCTCAGGCCATCCTTCTAGCTTTCAGAGACATGTCTTAGGCAGCTACACTTTCACCCTAGGTACAGGCTTACATCTACCAACACCTTGAAATGCAATTGAATTGTTCCAAACATCTCACAGGGATGTTCACTGAGGATCCCAAAAGGCAGAACATCATCTAGCAATGCTTAACTATTTCACTGCCAGCTGTCCTATTATCCCAAAAAAGCTGCTGCCATTTCTCTATGGTATATATATATTGGTACATATATATATTGATGCCTTAAGCCCCTAATGGTTTTTACTTTCCTAATACTTGTAAGTTTTATAAGTAGTGGAAGTAGACTCTAAAAGCAGCATCCATCACTCCCTCCCTTGTCCCTTTCCCTGTAGCACCCTTGTTTACACATTCCTTAACCCTCTTACCCTATTCTATGCTCCCTATATCACTCCTACCCCCGAATACAGCAGAAATGTTTAGTCTTTTGTCAAGGCAAGGCCCAGATTATTTGGCAGAACAGCATATCAGGGCCTAAACCACAGAGTACGGTCAAGAATTAGGTAACTATGTACTCTTTGTGCTCTGAAGATGGTGAAGATGATGAAGCAAAAGCCCCCAGACCCATTTCTCAGGGGGTGGATCCAGGGCGGTCCAGAGTAAAGGCCACAGGGTGGACACATCTGGGATTGGATGGATGGTATTATAAAATGTAACATCTCAGGCACGGCCGGCGCACGCGTCTTGTAACATCTTTGCTTGGCATAATAAACCCTTTCTTATCTCACCCCTAATTAACTGCTCCGGAGATTTTTTTCAGCACCTAACTCCCACGGCAACATATATATACATATGGCACATACATATTGGAGTTTGTAGCCAGGTGGGTACCAGTCTCTTCTCCGAGGCGACTAGCAGTAGGACAAGAGGGCACAGCCTTAAGCTGCACCAGGGGAGGTTTAGGTTAGACATTAGAAAGAAGTTCTTTACAGAGAGTGATTGGATATTGGAATGGGCTGCCCAGGGAGGTGGTGGAGTCACCACTCCCAGAGGTGTTTAAGAAAAGACTGAATGTGGCACTGAGTGCCATGGTCTAGTAGACAAGGTGCTGTTGGGTCAAAGGACTCATGTCTCCAAAGTCACTGGACTCGATGATCTCAGAGGTCTTTTCCAACCTAGTTGATTCTGTGATATAAATACCTAACAATCAATAAAACTGCTGTGCCTGCCTGACCTATCCTCGAAAAAAAAGAAAACGTCAGTATTATCACAGACCACAACTCAAAAGGAACATAACAAGTGAGTGTTACTAGAATCAGACGTGCTGGAGGGGCAGCTACGGCCAGGCTCACATAAGCTGTATTCCTGCCTGCACATCACCATGGGCTCTGCTGACCCATACAGACTGGAAAGGTAACTGGGAGCTTCCCACTATCGCCCCCAGTCAAAATTAATTCTATCCCCAGTCAGCACTGGGCCATCGCTACCAGCACTGTTTCTATCAGTTTCCTGTTTCCTCCCCCAAAACTCCTGGTCCCTTTGTGAGACTCTCATTCTTAGCTGTGAGAAGCCTAAGCTTCTTTCCTTGCATCACCTGGGGCTCAATAACCACCCACTGGACCTCTCCTCACCACCTATCCCAGGAGCACAGGGGAGGTCCATGCACACGACATGCCCCACATGCACTGTGATGCACAGCAAAGTAGAACTCACATGTTTGAAGCAACTGACAGGAGCTGCCTTGTAGCCGTGCTCCTGAAGGTACTTTCCCCAGTCAAAGCCCAGGACGAGTGCTACAAGCAGACATGAGAGCAGAAAATCAGAAGAGATCACAGAAAAGGCACAGAGTGTTCAGTTACTTCTGGAATACAGCTTGCAGTCTCCAGGCAGTAGGACACTCTGCCCCAGCACTCTGCATTCCAGTGCATTTTCCCTGGTGGGAAACTAGATCCTATGACTGCAAGGTGACCAGCCCCTGAAAGAGGTAAAATATATTATTAATCAATCTTTACTGTCACTTGCTTTTGGGGAAGGGGGAGCAGGAGGGGCAATAAAAGAGTCCAAGTCCAGCCCAGGGCTCAAGCACTCCAGGGACAGTGCATCCTTTCAGTGCTAAACCACTTTGCAGCTTTGCCTCCCAGCAGCAACACTGCAGGGTTATATCAGCAGCACTTGCTTCCCCGGAGGGTGCTGGGAAAATCAGAGTAAAGCACTGAGATATTAATCCTACAGTCATTCCTGATCCAAGGCTACAGTTCTGCTCCATCAGTCCCTGCTTCTGCCATGCCCTGGGGCTCACCTTTTCCCTCACACAGTAACCTGCTGCTCCTTCAGCTGCAGTGACCTTTTATTGCTCAAGCTGATCAGTGAGTGACTCAGGGGAAATGTAACTCCCACAAGCAGTGGGGCAGCAAATGGCTGAGAGCAGCGGGACACCTTTAAGTCACCTTTGCCAGTAGAAGTCAGCACCTCATGGGACTGGGACTACAGAGCTTACACTTCAGGTCAAGTTATATGAGGAGTGAGGATGAGGCTACAATAGTGGATGGGCAGGAACCCACCAGGGCTCCATTAGCACTGGTAGGAAGAGGAAAAGAGGCATGCCCTGTGTCCTGGCAGCCTGTGGCAGAGCAAGCCACACTGTACAAGGCAGCACACCAGAGGGGAGGAGGAGGAGGACTGCAGAGCTCACGGTGCCCCTATTTCTGTGGTCCCAGCAGCTGCACCTCCTCACACCTCACCTACACTCACCATCCTGACCTGTCAGTGTCCCATCTGCCAGCTGTCCCGTGCCCTGCGAATGGAGGAAGGCCCCAATCTTGGCCGACCAGGATGCCTTGTGCAGAACTTTAGCTTTCTTCGTTGGTGGTTTCCCCTACAAAAGAAGGAACATTAGGAACATTAGTTACACAGGAGAGGAAATCATCCCTTGGAAGTAACTGGCCAGCTGGGCATGCATCTCTTCCCTGGGCCAATTTTCAAGTTACTACAATATTTACTAACGCTCACAGGAACAAGAAGAAACAGCATGTAAAAGACCAATGTGTCCTTCCTCAGCTTTTAGGGAGCACCACCGTTCAGCTGGCACATGTTCTCTGGGGACTTCAGGCAGGAAGAACAAGGGTATGTCAGTCCAATCTTTAATTAGAGAGCAACCACCCATCCCTGCACACAGGCACATCCTGTTCCATCCCCAGGAATGATCAGACAATCATGGAATGGTTCCAGCTGGAAGGGGACCCTGAAGATCATCTAGTTCCAACCCCTTTTCCATGGGCAGGGACACCTTCAACTAGACCAGGGTGCTCAGGGCCCCATCCAATATGACTGTGAACACCCCCAGGGATGGGGCATCTACAGTGTCCCTGGGAACCTGTTCCGGTGCCTCACCACCCTCACAGTAAAGAATTTTTTTCCTAATATGTAATCTAAACCTACTCTCTTTCAATTTGAACCCATTCCCTCTTGTCCTGTCACTACATGCTCTTGTCTTGCCCCATCTTTCCTTTAAGTTCCTTTCAGGTAGTGGAAGGCCGCAATTAGGTCACCTCTTTTCCAGGCTGAATAATCCCAACTCTCTCCCAATTTTTCTCATAGGAGAGGTGCTCCATCCCTCTGATCAACTTGGTGGCCCTCCTCCGGACTTGTCAACTCTGTTCCACTCCCTTGTCCCCAAGGGCAGTCTCCCAGGAGATCCCACTTCCATCTTCAAGAAGAGGTGGAAGTCTGCCTCCCTAAAGTTAAGGAGCCTGACTCCTTTACTCCTTACCTGACCTATATTCCTCAAGACTGCAAACTCCACCAGTGCATGATCACTGCAATCCAGGCTGCTTCCGATCTTGACATCCCCAATTTGCTCACTTACTTTAATGACCATCAAATCTAGTATTGTGTTCCCTCTGGTAGGGCTGTCTATCACCTGGCTTAAGAAGTTATCCTCCATGCATTCCAGGAGTCTCTTGGGTTGCCTACAGCTTGCTGTGCTACTTTTCCAGCAGATGTTGAGTTGGTTGAAGTCCCCCAGCAGGACAAGAGCCTGCGAGCAAGATGGAGCCTGCGAGCAGGATGGAAGGGTTTTAACTCACCTGCAGTCTGGCCAGGATGCTGGCCTTCTTGGAATTTGAGGAGTAGCTTCTGGAGCAGGAGACGCTGCAGAAACGTTTGGTTTTGGAGAAGAAAGCTTCCCTGGTGCCCACAATCCCACACATCTCACACACAGCTGAGAGAAGGAAGGTACAAAAACATGAGCATTTGGCAGGGTCAGTGCACTACAAGGACAGAGCTGAGACAGGGTAACCCTCATTACACACAGCAGCTCCTCCATATAGCCCAGAAAATGCAGTCTGAATCCAAAGCTGCTCCCAAAGCATCCCCAAGGTGCAGTCATACACCCTTCAGTGTCCCCAGTCCTTGCTCCTTCCATCCTGCACATGTTTTAGGTAGAAGAAGCAGTACCTGGCTCGGAGCCGCTGTCTTCCATGAGCCGGCCTGTGGACGGCTGGTGCACAGGAGAGGTCGAAAGCTCTCCAGCTTCCCGGTCTGCCACCTCATCATCACTAGACTCCTCCAGACAGGAGCTGCTGTCACTGCCCATGCTGCTGTTGTAGCACGTGAGGCTGTCGTAACCCCCAAAGATGTCCAATTCATCCTCCTCCTCATCGTCATCGCCCTCCTCCTCCACCCGCTCCAAAGACGAAGTTTTGTGGCGGAAGGTAGACACCAACTGCAAAAAGAGCCAGTCAGAAATTACATTGGACACCCCACAGCACAATAAACCTGCCTTTGCTGCCGAGGGAGGGGGGCCTTCTGGACAAGGGAGAGGCCTCAGGGAGAGCAATGAGTCCATATAACAACCCCAAAAGGCAGGAGTCTGAATCCCTAGTAGGAAACCTATTACCCCCAAAACAGGTCCATATACTGGTATTCCACAGGCTGCATTCTGTTTGCCAAGAGGAAAGTGCCACAGAGCTGCAGCTAGATCGAAAACAGCTTGAGGAACATGAAAAAAGTACAGGGAACTACATTGCCATGCTGATGAAGGACAAATCAGACCGTGTCCTTCCAGAAAATGTTTCTCTCAACACAGTCGCACAGCACAGCAGTGCAGGCACCATCAACAATAAAGTCCTACAGATTTCCAGAACAGAGCACAAAGCTGCTCTGGCCACAACAGCTCACAAGACCAGCACAGCCTGGAAGTCAGCAGGGTAAACTCGGCTCTGGAGACAGTTCATGTCTTTCGGAAACTGCACGGTCCACAGCAGGCCTTGGTTCAGAAACGGCATCACCAGGATGACAGAACATCTGTTGAAAGTTTTTGCCTACAACCAGACGCTTCCACAGCTAAATATCTTCACTAGCTCTTCGTACTTACTGTTACAGCAGCAGAGCTGTGAGGCAGAGACCGAAGAAAGAGCACAGAAAACCAGTGACTGTGTCTCAGAACAGGAGAATCTGGAACCAGGCTCCAAATAAGCAAAAAAGCAGCTGGGAAAAGGTGTTAGCAACTCAGGGAGGAGCAGCAAGAAGTCAGCACCAGCACAGGGAGTGATGGAACAGAAAGGTAGACTCCCACAGCTACATGAGGCACCAGGATACAATTGTTCATCCAAGCGAGCAACAAGAAGAGATCAGCAGCAAGCCCACCACCTTCAAGTGCTAAATTCTCTCTGATCCCTGGCTTCGGGTTATCATTAGAGACACACAGATGGGAAGACCAGACTTCACTCACTGCTGACTCCCCACATCCCCCCTGGCTTTCACACAAAACAGATCCAAGGTTCCCCGGCTGTTCCATGAACAGAATTGCTCTCCTGAGGATCCACGCACTCAGATAGCATTCCTGACATCTGAAAGGCACGAACTCCTCAAAACCCCCCATTTTTATCGTCTTACGGTCCCTGTGTGGGCGTGCACCTTCCACCAGCTCGTAGGACGAGAGCACCTTTGTATCGTTACTCTTCCACCACACGCGAATGAATCTTCCGGACACTTTACGAGCCCTCAGGGCTTCCAAGCAAGGGCAGCACTACCCGGAGCCTCCTCAGGGAGGCCAGGGGGACGCAGGGGCCCGTCCCCCGGAGTCAGACCGACCCACCGCCGCCTCCAGCACCAGCACCAGCACCGGCACCGGCCGAGGCCGAGCCGAGCCGAGCCGAGCCGAGTCCAGCCCAGCCCAGCCCGTCCCGCCGCTCACCTCGCCCCGGTCCCGCTCCATGGCTCCCGGTACGCGTTAATCCGCCTCATGCGCGCCGAGCGGGTGCCCCCCGGGCGGCGCGTCTGATTGGCGGCAGCCGCGGAAAGGACAGCAAATCACCAGAGAGCTTATTCCCGCCGCGCTGCCCGCGGGGCACGACGGGAGCTGTAGTTCCTCTCCCGCGGCCACGGCCCCCCCAGGCTGGGTAACAAAGGGTCCTCACTTCCTTTACTACTCTTTTTAGCCACCTCCATCTCCAGTATTTGGGGAAATCTGGAATATTAGGATCTGTTGCCACGAATTCAGGGACTCACTGAATTCTATGGACTCACTGTTTTAAGAAACAAACCAGAGACCTTATTTAAGCACTTGACACAAAATTTTAACTATTATATGATTTGACTGACATTCTTGGCAAGAATTCATCTCTCTCACTATGCTTTCTTGTTTTCCCTCAAATAGTCCTCAATTGTTCTTGTATATTTACCTTCTGTCAGCAGCTGGTGGGGCTGTTTTTGTGTTATCTTCTGTCTCCCCGGCTCTGGTGCTTCCTGTAAGTCTGGGTCGGTGCTCTCGGCCCCAGAATCAGGGCACGGTTTGAGTTGAAAGGGACCTTAAAAGCCACCTAGTGCCGACCCCCCTGCTGTGGGCAAGGACACCTTCCACTAGATCAGGTTGCTCAGAGCCCTGTTTCCAGCCCTGCCTTGAGCACTTCCAGGGGTGGAGAGTCCACAGCTTCTCTGGGCAACCTGTGCCAGTGCCTCACCAACCTCACAGCAAAGAATTTCTTCCTGATATCTAATCTAAACCTGCCCTCTTTCAGCTTAAAACCATTGCCCCTTGTCCTGTCACTATCTGCCCATATAAAAAGTCCCTCTCCCCATTTTTTATAAGCCCTTTTCAGGTACTGGAAGGCTGAAGTGAGATCTCCCTGACGCCTTCACTTCCCCAGGCTGATCAACCCCAGCTCTCTCAGCTTTTCAAGAACTCATGTAACAACATTATAAATGATAAAACACCCCAACAACCCCCCAAACTTCAGCCCCACAGACAGATGTGATGACCAATCACCATCAGTGTGCGGGTCTGAACACAGTGTTCCTGAAAGTGAAAACAGATGAAATAGGAAAATATGAAATATGAAAAATGAAACCATGAAAAATGAAAATACGAAAGCATAGCCAAGAAGCGTCTCAGTGTATGTCTCTGGCATTGATTCTCTTTTCCTCAAAAGGTAAGTCCCCTGGAGTTAGTTCTATTTCCCTTTTATTTTGTTATCACTGTTATTGTGCTGACATTGTAAAAAGAATAAAGAAAAAATAAAGGCTGTACTGAACATTCCTATTCTGTACAGACTTTGTAGTGAGTAGCTGAGCAAATAACATGTGAAGCACATGTTCCTCTCTTGTGCCTACTGTACAGCCTTAGCTGCAGGTGAAGGTAAAGCAGCATGGCAAATGTTCATTCCCAAAGCTTACCTTACAGATACACATGGATTGCTCTTCCAGACAATCCAAAGGCTCTAACACAAGGCTACAGCCCATCAGTCTGAGTGCGAAGGAGCATCATTGTCAGTGTGAAACACGTTGAGCATCCGGGGCAGTGACTGGGGTCACAGCCTGCTTACAGAGGGACAGTGGCAGGGAGCTGGCAAAGCCAGCATGCAACTTGACCAGCAAATTTCCATAGAGTCCCATGTCCTCCAGGTTCAGGTTTTCCAAACCATCTTCCAGCACTGTTACACAGAAAATGGCTTTTAAAGTATTTAAATAATGGAGTTAATAACGAAATCAATTATAAAGGCTGTTATTCCTTTACAAATACTGCTAGACACTGCACTGCATGGGCAGACCAGAAAGCTGTTTCCAGAAAAGACACAGATGCAAAATTAAAAGTTCATTAAGTCTTCCTACTTCAATAATCTTTCATGGAACACATTATGAGGTATAGCTGCTGTGCACCCCCTGCTCCTTTCCCAGAGCAGAACAAGCAGTGCTGCTCCCTTAGGTCACAGACAGGCTGGTTCAAGACTTCTTGAAGGCTTGGGAAAAAATGAGTTCTGTGTTGACACAGAACAGATTTAAAGGCAGTCCCCATCTTTGGGCTGTTCATTTGTCATTACAGTTCTAAATAAGCCTTTTCAATAAATAATAGTATTTAAATAAATTCATTTTAATGTGAATTGAATTCAGTTAGATTCAGGAATACTTATTCTCTTAAATAATAAAAACTCTGTTATGTAACATGAATCATAATATCTTTGCAAAGAGAGTTCCTTTCTTTAGGGAGAGAAGAGCACTGACAATCTCAAGAAATTAAATCCCAAAACCTCGATTAGACTTCACTTTTCCTATCTCCTTCCCCATTATTGCTCTGGGCTCAGTCCCTGTTTTGATGCCATCTGCAACAAAAATTTTAGAAAGATCAGTATGAAAAGGTTGCTGTCAGGTGAAATCACAGGAGTCCAAGATGCAATGGGAGGGAAAGAATCCTCCCTTTTCCAGGCAGCAGAAGCTCTGCACTTTCAGCCGGAGGAGCGGGGTTGGCAAAGAGCTTTCTTCTGGCAATGCCACTGTCACTGCCTACCAATTCCTGCCATTGCCCTGGGGACTGCTGGGGCATAGAGAGAAGCAAAACACCCACTAACAGATCTTGTGGTGTGCATCCCACACAGCTCTGTGCTCCCAAGATACACCAGAGCCTGTCACCACCCAGCACACCTGGGGAAAACAACCCGAGCCACGCCAACTTCACCAGGAGCTAGGAAGGGCTTCAAAGATGGCTGTGGGAGATGGTGCCAACAGTAATTTCTCCACCCTCCCTAAATCCACCACACTCCTTACAACAGGCAGAGTAGACTGGAGCCCTGGCTGTTTGCTCATAGGCTATCCACAGCACCAGTCACAGAACAGGCTTCCCTTCCAAACATCCAGTGCGCAGGATCCCTGCTGGGGAGTTGTAAACAACCCTGTTCTACGGGAATGCAAGCGAGGCACCTCCTTACAACATTTCTAAACAAAATGCCAGATCGCAGTCGGGCAGGCAAATGCCAATGCACACACCACGCCTGCAAGGCTGACGGAGCAGCTCGGCGCCTTTCCAGCCATGATGCAAGCACAGAGGCTGCTGCAGCGCCTGCGGATGGAGCCTGTTGTGCTCTCTCACTTATACGGGCTGGGCTAGGCTCTGTCTCAGGCCGGGATCTATGGCACGTGATCTGCTTTGACAAGCTAAGGTAGGAAATGACTCCTTGTGCAAGCTGACAGGGTGGTGGTGTACGAAGGCAGCTGAAAGGCATTATAAACCCAAACATTCCCCAGCCAGGGCACCCCATGGCTGCTCTTCAAAGAAAAGCTCATTTTTCGGGTAGGAAGCCTCGTCACACACTTAGGCAGAACTGGTCATTAGGAGGAGACTCTTCTGACTGCTGCTGTCTTTCAATACAGGACCTGCTCCAGACTGTGCAGAGAGACTGGGCTGGAGTCCTTGAGTTTGGCTGGAACTGGGAGCAGCGTGATCAAGGACCTGGTGTGTGTAAAAAGACCATCTTGGAAACAGGAGGTGGAGTTTCTTGCAGAGAAACTGCGTATCAATCATTGGAGAAGGCTCTGGAAAATGAAACAGAAGCTGGAATGGCTGTCAGTGCCACATCATGTAACTCAGCCTTGTGGTGCTGCCACTGCTTGTAAGAGGCCACAAGCTCTGCGTTACATGAGCTTTGCCTGGACTTCTCTCAGCCTTCCAGGAGCTTTGTTGTAGATTGTTTCACTCTTACAACAGTTGTCTGATGACCAGGTGACTGTTACCGGCACTGTCTGGGGTTTTGTGCAATTATCTGGAGTGACACTTGCCGTGTATGTGTTACTGTAAATGATAGACAGCAGGTGCTAGGGAGAAGCCTGTGTAACTGCTGGGCCTGGAGCACAGCTCCTGGAGAGCAGGAACTGACACAGGAGGTTGCCCAGTGGGTGTGCACAGAGGAGCCAGGGGATGGTGGTGTGCCACAGGGCATGGGCTCCCACAGACTCCAGAACAGCTTCCCTTGTAATGTCAGAGCCTCTACCCAGGCTGAGCTCTTGTGTGGGAGGATATGGCTTTGCAACTCTCGTGCTGCAGGGAGTGTTGGAGGCTTCTTGCTTTGGCCAAGGCTGGGGCAGAACAGGATCTTCTTGGAGACCCTGCCTTTTCAAGAGCCTGAATGTCCCATGTGTACTGAAGGCAGAGTCTGTGCGCACTGGATTGGGAATCAATGATGAAGGCTGGAAGCCTGTGACTTGTGGCATCAGGAGGATGTTTCCTGTTCCACCCGCACACATACAGGACAAGAACAGCATCAGTTCACTACCCCTGAGCAGATGTGAGGCTGAGAGCTTGGAGTTTCCAGTGAAAAAACTGAACAAACAGCAAGGAGTTTTCCAGAGAAACATCTGACCTGCCTTAGCCACGCAGCAGCACAGTGGAAGTGCTGGGTGCTGGTAGTGAGAGACTTCCTGCTGCAGGGGATGAAGGCCACCATCTGCCAACCTGGCAAAGCAGATGTGTTGCTTGCTGGGTTCTCCCATCTGGGATGGTATGGAGAGTTTGCCAAGGGTTGTCCAGCCCTCACACTCATTTCTGCAGCTGCTGCTCTTCCATGTGGGCACCAATGATACTGTCAGGGGAGACCCTGGGCATACCAAGCATACTTCATGGCTCTGGATACAATGGCCGTGAGTTTGGGAGCTGCGTGGGGGAAGTACCTGAGGGGGAAGAGATGCAGCCTGCAGATCAACAACCAGTTGTACAGCAGGTGTCACAGATTTATGAAGGGGAAATCAAGCTTAAGCAACCTGACAGCCTTATGGGATGGCTTGGTGAATGAGAGGACAGCAGCAAATGTTTTTTTATCTTGAACTTACTTAAGGCTTTTGACACCATCTCTGACTACTGCCTCACAAAGTGAGGAAGTATGGGCTAGATAAACATGGATAAAATGGATTGAAAGATTGGGATCACTGGCACAAAGTTCAGTGGAAGCAAGTCACTAGTGATGTACTCCAAGGGTTGGTACTGGGGACAATCCC